TTTCCCTGCTCTTTCCTTACCCATCACACTACAGCCACATTCATCCTGCTTCTGTGCTTTTAGGATCTTCTTTTTTCACTGTAGGGTTATCAGACAGAAACCTACCCGTCTGTCTAAATGTGTCATTTCATTTGGGGCAAGTTTCCCCATGAAGGAAGCCTCCATTCTCTTTCCTTATGTGGAAATGCCACATAATGTCTCTAAAATGTCTCATAAATGTCTCTAAAATGTCTCATAAATGTCTCTATCTTATGTGGGTGTCTTCTTATCAGTATTTTGGAGTCAAATGGAGTGAAGGTGGCCAGGGGAGCCTTCCTGTTGTGGGCGTGAACCTATATTTAACTTCTGCTCTTTCTGGTGCCCCCTGGTTCAGAAGCTCTCAGGCTCTACTTCTCTGGAGAGTGCACATCCAATCTTTCTGGGGGAGGTGGAGGGGTCAGTAGTACTCAGTTTCTTTGCTCAGTGTGCATACCACATACCAGATGAGGGACTAAGTTGTTGTGACTCAGGATAGTTATAATTTATGTATGGGAGGTATAAGTAGAAATTGGGAGTGAGATTGGCTTAACTGCTCTGCTCTTAACAGTGAGTTTCTGGTGCTGACAAACTAATCTCTATCAAGTATTTTATTTGGTCATATAGATGTAAATGCAATTCTCATGTTTTTATCTCTGTCCAGATTTTAGGGCAGCAAATTAATGACTTTACTCTCCCTGATGTGAACCTTATTGGGGAGCATTCTGATGCTGCAGAGCTGGGAAGGATGCTCCAACTCATTTTAGGCTGTGCTGTGAACTGTGAACAGAAGCAAGGTAATTTATTTGATGTTAGTGTATACATGTAAAATAGTTAAGGAAAGTAATACACATTGTGTATTTTATATATAAATCACATGTACAAACAACAACATCTTAAGGCCACCCACAAAGTATGCCATTTTCTGTGATTTTGCTAGTAATCTGTTTTCAAGCTTAAAAGAGTATTACAGGTTAGAATAAATTTGATTATGATGATGTTCTTCCCCTTTCTGCAAGACTGCATAATTCTTTGAGTAGATTATTTTTAACTACACTGAATGTAATGAAATTTACTGTTAATTGGACAAGGTCCAGCCAAATTAATTAATAATTAATTAATTAATAATAGTCAATTCAGCTATAGGAGTGTAAAGTTCGATATTTTAGATTGCAAGTGCAAAGGGTTTACTTCATAAACATTTACTGAATTCATGCATCATGCTGGGGCTTGGAACACAGTGTCAGACAAAACCAATATAGTACCTGCCCTCACGGAACTTGCAGTTGAGTGGGGTGGGCATTTCTAAGTAGAACCCTTGACTTTAAAAGGCAGATGAAAAATTATTTAATGTAGTTCATTGAATTCAGATAAGAATTTCTTATGTATTCTGTTAGGAGATTCATCAGCTCTTGGAGATGTATAGCTGTTAAGAGTTGGCTAATTATTTATTACAGGGTGTGAATAGGAGAAGGCAAGGATGTTACCTATATCCGTCGTTCTGTGGGAAGACAATCAAAATATTTGTTGAGCTTCTCACACAGACCAAGTGTTCTCTGTAACACCTAGCTTGAGGTTTTCCCTAAAAATTACATAAATGATGAAAAATTTGAACAGGATTTTAACCTCTCACTGTCCAGAGGGCATGCTCTGGTCTCAGGAACACAGCAGAGAGCTTGGATCAAATGCAATTCTGAGTTGCCGAGTGTTACCTGTCACTGCCCTGGGGGCCCGGCCTGTTTCCTCGTCTGCAGAGGGAGGGCACGACAGCTGGTCGTCTTGAGGAGTCGGTGAAACGGTGTGTGTGTTTGCTTCGTAACCCGTAGCGCACCGCAGACACAAGGGCTCTGTGTTTAGAGGCTGTTTCTCAGTTCCTAGAAGTGAGGCGTTGGCTCACCGTGCATTTCTCTTGGCTCTCTGACTTGTCAAATTGGGGCACATAAGTGGTGGTGTATTTGAAAAAGCAGAGATTAGCAGTAAAAACGCACTAAAAATAATATTTACCGAGTTCTCCCTTCCTGCCTGGTTAACAGAACAAACAGCACTTTTTACAAATTGGGAAACTGAGACTCCTGAGTATTGTTTGACTTGCCCAAGATCTCTTGCTCGTGAGAGGCTAGCGAGGACAAAAACACGTGTCTCCCACATTAGAACTAAATGCTCTTTGTACTGAGCTGAGCTGTAGGCTTTGGACCTAGACGCTCACTTTGCAGGACAGACTCCCTGGCGTAGCCTAGCTCATTCTCCACTGCCTCCTGGATCTGCCAGTAATCATACGTACTTGGATTTTGGACTTTTAAGATTTAACTTTTTTTTTTTAACTTTTCAAAACTAGTACATTAACGTGGTTCTCATCATCATTTTATCATCCAGCATTTTACGGTGTTCGCGGGGAAGGGCCTTGACGTGGCAACACCGCTTCTTAACTAACGCTTCCCCTCTCACACCTGACTAACCTCCGCCCCCTGTCCCTCGTCACACCCTTCACACCCACGGGGCTGTTGTCCGTCTTCCTCCCATGACTGGGCCACTGCCTCTCCCCACCATGTTCACAGTCTTTCATTCTGATCCCGGCTGTGCCAGCTGCTCTGTAGCCTGGGAATTCTGTGCTTGGTG